TTACCATAGAAGTAGCCTTTTTAGATATATTTTGACGCTTGTACTATTCATATAAGATTGATTACAAAACATCAAGGAATAGAAATTTGCTTTTACTGTATGTCTTTAAGAATTCAAACAAGGTCCAGTTGAGCATACCATAGAGAATTATCCACATTTTGCATGACAAACTGTAGATAAAACCACATGATCTAATTATTATGTACCCCATATTCACGGGACAGGATTTTTAAAAATTTCTTTTATATGAAACAGGCTAATGCCCGCAGATTAAAATCTGCAACTTCACAAGTAGATTTTCTGGTATCATACCTCTGGAAAAGTTCTGAAATGAATATGACAGTAACTTCCTTGTGCTTCTGTAATGACTAGAAGGACACGTGAGATTCACTCTCTCCCCCATCTGCCCCAACTCAAAGCACAGACCAGGTAAACTGTGTCATATCTGCTGATATTTAGAAAAGGCTGGCAGAAATTTTTAGAAATATTCTCTCCAGCCTGTACATTGAGGTGAGTCATTTGTTCCCTTCAAATTCACTTTCCTCAGGGCAGCCATGTGCGTAAGTATTTCTGGCACTGATGGAAACAATCATCTGCAGTATCGCTTTTTTCCCCACATGGGAAGTACATTTACTCTTTAATGGGGAACTGAAACAAGATTGTCACCATTCTGACTAATGGCAACACAGAACAAATAGGAAACACTTCAAGGGAAATATTTACAAAAATAGCGTACACAGAAGACATAAGAAGCTTTCATATCATGAGTGAATACTTGAAAGTAATAATCTATTCATGAGCAGGAAGGGAGCAAAAATTAGTTGGATTAGGAAACACTTGTTAAGGATTATCCAGTAAGCTGCACTTAATGCAGGTAATTGCGTACAGCAACTATAATTATGAACTGTGTATGTTTTTAGATGAAGAATCTATGTCCGGTAACATAGGTGATAATAACTATTATTGAAACTTTTTACAGGAATTAATGGTTGAAACAACATTGACTCACGCTGGAAGTCTAAAATACACAATACTTTCTGCATCCACCGGTTATTTCAGCATTACTTACTATCCCACTCACCTACCATACAGCAATGTTGTCACAGGGCTTTTCAGGTTAGAAACTGGGCGCTTCACATATCCCAGTTGAATACTGTTGCAGAAGATAGCTGATAAAAAGAAATTCTCAATTTAAGGAAAAATAAAAAAACCCCAACCCAAAATCTTTATGCCTTGATTGCTCATGGCAAATAAAGAATTCCCATTTACAGACAGAAAATAGAGAAAAAGGACTGGACAAAGCAAAAAGTTGCCACAAGTGCCATTTTTCTCTCCTTTTGTCATAGATCTCTTGATTAAAAAAAAAAAAAAGCCCATATAATGGGCTTCATTTTCAGTGCCATTTATTTTAAAAGTATGCATTCTGACAGTTGTGTCATGCCAGTGAAGATCACCATTATATCACAACTGAACTCCTTCTGTATATAAAGCTATATCTGTTTACTGTACATAAGCATTACACAACACAGCAAATGTTTGTACCAAAAAAAAAAAAAGTCACTCTGCTTTGTGCTTGTCCAAAACCAGGACAGGATCAAGTATGATACCCAACAGTGAAGGTGTTTAAATTCCAACACAACACTTCAGATCCCGCTTTTTGTAAAAAGAAAATCTGTGTTTGGGTTTTGGCAGTCTGACTCTATTAATTGTTTCTGAAATCACAGACTTTAATGGAAACATAAAGTTGCTACACAAAACAACATCTGAAAACAGCTAAATTGGATTGTAAGTGACAGGAGCAAGCTTTGGTAGAATTGGATTATTTAGAATGACCGTCACAATGCTAACAACGAGTCACTTGGGATTTACGTCCCAACATTTGTAGCAAATAAAAAGTTATCTTTAACCATATTAGATTACAAATAAAGACAAAAGTAGTGCTGATCATTTACTCTTCCACATAGAACACACGGCCCATAGTCAGATCATTCTCCCAAATACCAAGTCAGTGTTGTAAGCACAACATTTTTATATTTCACCTTAACAAATTGCGATGACATTTTCCTTGTGCAGTTTCATTAACAGAGTTTTAGACCAATTTTGCTGTGCAACTGTTGTTTACTCATGACTTTCAAGGTAATAGGTTTATTTGGATCTATGTCATGGCAGTGTCCTGTGCACGGCAGTGTATCCAATCTGGAGCCGAGAGGAGGACTCCAACTCACTGAATGTGACTGCAAACAAAAGCTCTTTACTTGAATTCAGTCTAAAAATCCTGTACAGTCTATCTTGAACTCATAAGAGGAATTATGATTGTACAAGATTGTACATTTTAACATTAGTAAGATGTAGGTGATGGAAAGTAAATTGTGTCAGATGAACACTCTTGATTGCCATCAGTCTATACAGCTTATCTTGTATCAAATTTATCTCTATTGTGCTAAAGGTAAGAGAAGTTAAGACTAATAAAATGAACTCTGTTCTCATTAAGACAAGACAATACATTTTACAAGACTTCAAATGTTGAATCTCAAGTCCTCTATTGAGTTACTTAATGTTTGCTTCCAAACCAAGATACAGGCTTCGTTAGTGCCAACATCATCATAACACTGCTCATTTGATAGCAAGCTCAGTAAATTTGAGAGCGTATTTCCCCCCTCCCTTCCACATATTTTTTGTGCTTCCTGCTTAGGTGAAGTGGTTGTATGCTAACAGCCACTATAAAAGTAGCAGTTCAAGTACATTTAGCCATCCAAGAAAGCTGTAACACAGGATGGTTAGTTTAAAAGACAGCAAGAATGAAGTGCAGGGCCATTTGCAGTAGGAAGTTGCCAAAGGGAACCATATGCGAAATGGCAATCTAGAAAGAAGTACTGGAACTACAACTCTTATCCAGCTTGATATGTTTTCTGAAAGGGGAAATCACCGATTATAGTCTTCAGCATGGACAACACACTTTAGAAACTATCAATAAAAGGGTTTGCCAATTTAAAAGTTAGTTGTCGATTGTACAAAGAACGAGCCAATGGACTTTCCATTCTTTGCATATTTGTTCCCCTCAGGAGTCCGTTACCTTTCACAAAGAAAATTTTAGCTATCAAACTTGTCCATAAATTTTGCCGCTGAGTGTGAAACCATCCAGTTAGCATATACACTATCATTTGCATATCTTGAAAACACAGAGTTAGTGCCATCGAATCTTGTGAGTGGAACGGGGCTCTCCTCAGGCCAGTTCGGGTATGACATGCCTAAAAATGAAAACAGATAATTTTTTCTGCACTGAAGAACCATAACTTCATGTGCAGACAGTAAGGCCCTTGGCAAAACTCCCTTCAATATTTTAAGCCAGTCCACTGGATTTTGTCCCAAATCAATTCATATAAATGATGTTTCAAAAGCCCTGAAGCACAAATTCAGATGTAGACAAAAACCCTGAAAAAATAAAGTGCTTACTTGATAAAAAATCGTGTGCATGCACACACATGTGCATAATAAAAAGCTAATAATTTTTCTTCTGATGAGCCTCCAACTTTCCATAATTTTCTTTTTTAACAATCATGTAGCAATATATTGCTTTGCAAGAGGAAGTTCTTGCTGTACAGGAAGTGCTCCAAGAATTAATAAACCCATTTGGGACAGGATCCAAAGTCCACTCCAATGACTGAGAGTATTTCCATTTACTTAAATGGGCACCTTTCCTTTGGCTTCAGTGAGGTTTTGGGGACACTCTCACACCTTCACCAGGGATCCCCTGCTTAATTTTAAGAAATCCTAGGAGCACAACTGAGTAAAGTCCAACAAAGTCCTGAGCACTCTTGTCTTGATTCAGCATTTAAACATGTGTTTCAGGCATGTAATTGTTTGCATTGAGTCCCGTAATTGCTTCTCAGTTTAGGCACAAGTGATCACCAAAATGGAGGCAGAGTGCTTAGCACCATGTTGATCCAGCTGTACAAGCAGAGAACCATACCAGGGTCAAGATTTTCAAAAGCAGAAATCTGATTTTGTTGCTTATTAAGCATTCAGCATCTGCCATCAGCCTCGGTGGCAACTATTTCTGTTACTGCATTCTTTTAACAATCTGGCCACTAAAGTGCCCCAAAGTGCACATGAGTTGGGGGAACCTATTAAAGAAAATTATAGCTAGGGTATAGATCAAAAATAGACCCAAAGCCATGTATTAATGGCAACTTTTAAGCTAAAAGATCCAACTTTTGAAAAGTCCTACTGCTTGAAGAATGAAAAAATTATCTGTGGTGTTAGTAAATATCTAAAAACATGTAGAGTATTTAATCAGGAGACAAAATGTAGGAGTTTTGGCAAGAACCATTTTTACTGTCCATCTCACCATCACAATATGAAAGCATATGTTCTTTTTAAAAACACTTGCTACATCATTCAATCAAGGTTTAGTACTGGCATTTTCATAATAAATCAAAGGACGTGAAAACAGCTGAGTATTTTCAAAATGCCCATTGTTGATTCAATTACCAAGGACTTTACATGTTGACTAGGTCTGTATATAATACTTATATACAGTATTTCTACCTTCTGTATAGAATACTCTGGTTTCATTCTATGATACATTAAATAGACATTTCAGCTTATAGATCCAGAATGCATTAACAGCAGCTGAAATTTAGAAATCCATCTTGATAAACAAAAACTGTTGCGGATGGGTCCTATCATTGAACTATGGCAAAAAACAGTATTTAAAAAAAAAAGTCTATTGCTTAAATTAGAGGTGCAGAATCTAACATACTTTAAATGTTCCTAGCCCCCCCCCAACAGGATAGTTGAATTAAGTACTCATTAGCATTTTATATTTCCCCTGAGAATACTTCCCTGATCTTCTTTTTTTTTCTTTTACTGTATGATATCTAGTCATTTTAGTTATTTTCACATCCTTTTAAAAACATTTAAACACAGCTGCAAAATGACTAAAGGATGATCCTGATGCAAACTTTGACATTTACCAAAAGAAAAAACAAACAAAAAAACCCAAAAGAACCTTCCAAGCAAATTTTGATTGGCTTCATTCAGACAAGAAACACTGTAATGGGGTTACAGAGTCTGAGAACAGTGCAGAAGAAAAATCATTTTTTTTGCGTTGCTAGAATCTAGTAAATGCATGTGAAATTCTACCATAGAGTTTGTTTTCAATCCATGTGGAAGGGAGGGTTCGAGGGAGGGGAGCATTATTACAGTCCACGAGTGGTGTCTCCTCTTCTGAGAGCCCATCATCATAAAGTAAGGAATCCGAAGGTGTGGAAGCCGCAAGATCTAAGTAGTCCTGAGAAGTGAACACAGAGAAAGCTGGGTTAACGAATGTGGCAGCGTTGTGGGTGGGGTATAAAGGCTGAATGTGCATCTGGTTTCTTTAAAACAAGTAACCACAGACCTCACTGCATTTGTCTTCTGATAGTACCTCTAGCACCTGAGTAGGCTCTCCCTTTCTGCAACTACAGCATCTTTGGAAGTATCTGATTTGCCAGAACGCTAAACGTGCTAGAGACAAGTTAATACTTCTAGTACTTAATTCTGCACATTAGTAAGGTAACCAAGAAGTTATAGGGCTGTGGCTGATTTGTTTGACCTTCAGTTTCTGCTACGCCTGATACATACATATAGATAAATATGCACGCTTAAAGGTGCTCAGATCTCAACATTTTTACAAAAGCTATTACATAATCATGTATAAAATTAGCAGTTGAAATATTGCCAAATAAAGCTTTTGCTGCTCTTGTTGTAAAACTAAATATTTAGGTCAACCGTAAGGGTTCATAGGTTTTCATCTATGCTGCTGAATTGCTATGATGCAAAAAACAATTATGAAGCTTTTTCAACTAGTCTAAAATACGTTTTTTCCTTTCAAAATGGCTTTTCCTTTGGAAATTTACTGAAATTAAACTTCAAAAAGGTAAAGTTAGCCAATTTTATAAGTTGAAAAAAATCTTCAGAAATTTTCATTCAGAAAAGCAAGAATAAAAATGACTAATTTGTCAAGCTCTATTTTGGATTGGCTTTGGGTTTAATGATGATGAAAAATTCAGAAAACTTGCCAGCCTCTGTATTACAAGTCTGTCACTGGACATGCAGATTGCTTTCATACTGATTCTCAGAAGCTACAAATCAGTGGTTGACAAGTCAGAGTAATTTAATGTTCAGCCTAGACTTTTCACTTTGCATTTTTTAATTTAGAACTTATTTTTACTTTCAGATTCTGAACAAAATTGTTCACATTTATTTAGTCCTTTTTACACCCAATGTAAGTGTCATCACGTTCTCTAATCTGATAATGGTCGCTGTATTTCCTCTGTTTTTCATTGGTAACTGCCTCCCCTTCCCACAACTAGTAGATTAAAAAAAAAAATAAATCAAAAATTGTGTTTATGTCCAATTAGGTATGTATATATTTTATAAATATACGCAACTTGGACTTTCTTTTAGACCTCAGCATCCACTCAAAGAAAGTCTATATAGGATTATGATAGTTTTAGAGTAACTCAGAATGGTAGCATCATACAGCTTTCATATCTCTGTTGCTATCATCACATAACTAGATCAGATTCAAGGAAATACTGTGTTCTTCTAATTCTAGGCTTCCTAGGGTTATTTATTCAGGAGTGCAATTTAGGAGTAACTTTTCACAGTAATTTTTCTTTTTTTTTTCATATTTAAGGAAGCTAGACACGTTAAGGATAACTTATCTGCATTTAGAGTTGAAGTCAGCAAAGCTACTCTATGAAGTAGTACTGCTTTCAAAAAGCTGGATGCATTTGGAAGAAACTAGGTATTCAAGTTCTTCAAAATGTGATAAAAATTACTTTTTAAAAAAATCATTATTTCTACATATTCAAACTCAAAACCTTTTAAAAACTCATGCTTTCCCACACTTACCCTACTCTTCACCATCATTTTCTCTAGTTCCTTGCTGATCTCAGCAAATGTTGGTCTTTTATCGGGTTCTTGCTTCCAACAGCGCAACATCAGGTTGTACCTGTGACCCGCCACAAGGTGGAAAAAAAAATAAAATTGTTAGAAATGGGTCATGCTTCTGCTCAAATAATTCACAGCACTGAAGTTGAACTGTGGCATGAAGGCCATCCACAAGCATATCAATCTTTGTGGTGCATTTGGTTAAACATTCTCTTGAATCAACAACTGACATTCACAAGAATGGGCTTTTATTTTCATGAGTCTTTAGGAGTTTAAATGATGATACACTTAACTGTCCTTAAAGGACTGCAGTCTTAGGTTTCTTTCATTATTTTCACTTTTTCAAAGGATCACCTCATGTGAGGACCTTGATTTCTAATTGATTTTGTTTGCATATGACTTTGAAGAAGTTTGTATATCAACACTGACGTGCATCTCTCAACCTGGAAAACTCTGCTGTTATATCAGAAAGTAGAATTTTGTTCTTCATTTGTTTAAATTCTGAAAAGTTTCTTTAAACTTTTCTTAAAAGTGAAGCCTAACCTGAGATTTTTGCACAAACTAAAACTTTTTTGATTACTTCTATTATTGTTATTTTGATTATATCTATTCTTATTCTGTCTTTAACTGCCTTCTATAGCATACAGCATGGAAACAAAAGGGAGCAGAATTAAAAATTTTATACTTGAGTGACTATGAGACAGACATTGGCCAAGTTCTGGATGTGTAACTCTCCAACCTGTGCCATTCATGTTATTTTTCTAGCTCAAGGGTTTTCAGGACTAAGTGGACTAGTCACAAAAATGCTCTAATTGTGGAAATAGTTGGCTACAGGAACTACAGCAAGCTATTGAAAAGCACTGCATTTTTTGCCCTCATCCATGATGTCTCTCTTACGTGACTGCATAAAGCAGAAAATGCATTTTAAGAAAAATGATCCTTAAAGTGGGGTCTCAAAGGCTGACAGAAAAATTTCTTAGTAAAAGAGAAAAAATCTAAACCAGTCAGAAAACCATAATGTGGCTTGAACTAAAAAAAAACACAAACCAAAAAAACCACAAACTTGGACATGGTCAGTTTGCCTAACCTAATAATTATCAATGATATAACACGTTTGAGGAATGAAGTCTTATTACCTGTTGATTGAGATGAAACAAAAAACAACAACAACAACAAAATATTAAGTATATGCTAAAGGATATTTGCCAGCGACACTTGTAAACTTCTACCCTGCCCTAAATTCAGAAACCCTTAATGTTTTTTCTCTGTATGTGGTATTAAAGAAAAATAAAATAATACTATTTATACTGTATTTTCTCAGTCCAGATGTGGCCACAGCAACCTTCATATTGAAAATCAGTCAAAAGAGTTGTCATAGGTATTAGCCTGGTAACTTTCTAAAAAAAACTGGCCACAACCAGATGTGCAGGCTGAACATAAAATCATGCCTCATCTCCAAATGCTGTAGAAGAATCAAAGAAAGAAGACATTTCAGATAGAGAGTGTTTTAATAAGTCAGCCAATAAAACATGAACTGTCTCCAAACAGAAAAGAAATTGCCATGAGCTTACCAAGTCAAGGAAAATTTGTGTCTTCTAGGCTACAGATTTCTGGGTCAAGGTATCCTTTCTCCTGTGTAATGCCAGGACAACTAATAGACAATGACTGTGGATGGAACATCTGTTTCATTTGCAGAAAAGTATCAAAACATCTTCTTGATTATTTCAGCTACCACTGTATTTTATGAAATTCTCCTCCTCACCCCACTCTCAAAAGTTTTGACTCTTGAAACTCTTCATTGTTTGGCAAGTGTGTTATTCGATATCCTACAAATATTTTGAATGAAGCTGCAAGCATTCAGTTGGCAATTCTTTTCCTGCACTTTACTGTTCATTGATTTCATTACATTCTTTTGAGCACTCCATAGTTTGATTATATGTCTGTGATATACAGAATAATATTTACGTGGTATTTAAACTTTTTTTTTTTTTCTTTTTGGAATGTATATATTCAAGAGATGTTTATGAATCTAATCAGATCAAGAGCTACTTACATTTCTTCACTGCAGTTTTCTGGCCTCTCCATTCTGTAGCCTGTTTTTAGGAGGTTAAAGAGTCTTTCAGGAGCAATACCTGGGTAGGGATTGCCTCCTAAAGTTACAATCTCCCATAGCAGAACTCCAAATGACCATCTGAAAAAGAGAAAATGAGCTTTTATTGAGTGGTAGGTTTCAAGAGCTTAGCGTGGCTTTCACCCAACAGATCTCTTTCTAGTGTTTTGAGAACCCAACCAAATTCAAGACATTGCTGAGCCAGAGGGGCCGTACAGATGCATATAGGGCCATCCTTGTTCCCAAATACTGTTCATTAAAAAGATTAGCAACTAAGACAGTAGAGATAAGGGATACCCGTCTTTCATCCATTGACAAAAGCTAACTGTATCCTAGGAAGGATACAGTTCTCTAGACAGCAGAAAGTCCTTCCCATGGTGGCCCAGCCCAAAGGCTTGTTGCTGTTCTGTACAGTGCTCCTGGAGGTGCCTCTCTTTTCCCTTTGGCTGCAGAGGGAGTCTAACCTCCCTAATTAGCCCCTATAGTGCTATTCAGAAATAATTGTCTAAATTTACACAGGCTGACTCAACCATTTATCAAGGGACTGGTTTGCTGTCTTGACGATGAGGTTCTTTATATGCACAATGTGTTTATTTCAGTCATAAGCAACACCTTTGATTTCAGCTGGTCTGTTGGGCCTTTTCAGTGATTCAGAACTTAATTTTCTTCTTAGAGTTAATGAAAGAGGAGGAAAGAATTTATTCTGGAAATACCAAATGCCTAAAATAAAGTTTAACATAGAACAGAAGACAGAACAGCTTTCTGAAGTGAATGGAAGAAATGGTGGCTTTTTTAACCTACTTTATTGAGAAGCTCAAACAAAAAGACCTTGCTCAATGAGTTGGAAATACTTAAATAGATTAAATTAGTCCATTTTTGGAGGGCAGGCTAGGAGAAGAAAGGCAAAAATGTTTTTCTTTCCTTAGTGGAAGGTTTTTTTGAAACACAAATAAGCTACAAATTACTCTGAATCTGCTCAACTGACAGAACTGCCAAAATTTGGATGGTCAAAATGAAGGAAACCAGCCAACAGTGTTTCACTCAAAGGGGATACTCAATGGGATGCATCTGGAAGCAAAATGACATACAATTTAGGGCAAATGTTAGCTTTTGGTGCTCTCGTCATTGGGTAATTTCTGTGAAAACTCCACTTTTAAGAGTTTAGGAAGTGTTACACACCTAATGCCAAACCAAACAGCAGTGTCTAATTCCCTTTGAAAATTCCATCTCAAAAATGTTAGCCACAAACCTCACCTCCTGTCTGACTACATTCCACCTGTGCTTCTGACATTTTAAAAGAACAATGGTAACCCCAAAAGGACAGCAATAACTTTCAAAATGGGCAGAGAAGCCAAACTGAGCCTCACACAGTCTTAAGTAGTACGCTGCACTTTTTCTCCCTGATGCCATTCATTGAATTAATTTTTAATCACTCTGCACATTCTTGAAAGCTAATGAATATTTATAGCATTTTCATATGCTTTATTAATATACCTCCTCATACCCTTTTTGAAGCCAATTATGTTCTGCCATCAGGTTATAATTCTGTCTGTGATTAATTCCAATAAACTTGGTAACATGGCAGGTTTTATTTTTAAAATCCACCTCTTCGGCTTAAGAGGAATTTCACAGAATATGGAAGGAGGGATCGGATGAGTAATTTCTTCATTAAAGTTCTTTAGTAAATCAGCATATTAGAATAGAATGCTGTAGAACGCTGCAATGCTTTCAAATCATTATACAAATTAAGTAGTATGGGAGGAGAAATGGGAGATGAAAATTTTCCTATTGTGCTATGTTTATTGCTGAATAAAAATGTGATCAGAAAAAGCCAGGAAAGAAAAATATAATGTGAAGAGGAAGACAGTAGGCTAGCTTTCCACTGATGTCATCGACCTCTGAAGCAAAAAGAGATTTTGTAAATGCTGGCAAGTGATACTGCTATTAAGGGCTGCTAACCACTAACTATACAGAAAGGCTTTAGAAGGAAGACGCTGGAAAATAGAAACACGGAGTATCAGGCAAAAAGAGCATATTGGAATGGTTGTTGAGTATATTAATATATATGTTCACCTAAAATATAATTGCATCACCACAAACAAAAAAGAATATTCATTAAAAATATTTTCAGTGAGTGTAATTATCTAAAATATCAATCAGTGCTGCAAAAAAAGCATTTCATTTATCAGTTTGCTGCTGTTGTAATGGCATTTGTGGAACCTAGTGCTGGAGACGATTTGCTTTGCAACTCTCTGTGTGTGTCTCAGTACTGTTCTGTAGGGACTTGGTAACTTCAGAGCTGCGACGTAACACTCGTAGATTACTTTACGTATAAGGACACAAATAGTGAAGGTGACCTCACCAGCGAGTCAAAGGCACTGTGTAAGCTCGGCAGATACGTAGACCTTTTATGCCATCATATTGAAGCAGACCTACAAAGCACAGTGCAGTGCTCTGGTAAGAATACCTGATGCATCTCCAAGAAAGCTGGTAAATCAGCATGGCTTTACACGGAGATATTAATCCAGATCTGGGAAGCAGTAAAGCTACACCAGCTACCAGCGTGCTGCCCAGGGCTCTGAGCTAGCTTGTTTGATGCCAGCTGGGCAATCTCTGCTTGGCATTGTATCCCATGTACAAGAGATAGGCTCCTGGGATTAATAACAGCCCAGCAGGAAAGCAAACAGGGAGCAATGGTATTGGATCCAGAAGATCAATCAACAATCAAAGAGGCGGCAGTTCCATGACAACACAATCTGTTCTGGCCCCAAACCATAGTGACAAATCTGTTTTGCATAAAATAAAGAAATTAAAAATATGCTAAGAAGTTTTTTAAAGATTTTTAACAATTCTCTGGGAAAAGTCATTGTAGAGAAGCAGGTCAACACAATGGATACTCTGAGGAGGATAAAAATAGACCCAGAAAAACCTGTAAGCAGACTTAAGTAAAAGTTACATTCTCCCAAGAATTACCCCAATCTTTTTTCTTTTCTTACTCCAAGTGAAGCAAAGTAAATGAAAATATTTTTTGGAATTCGTTTTGTAAGGAATTTCCAGGGCAAGCAAAATATTTTATTTCACTAAAACTGCTCTGACCTGCAGAGAGAAGAGTAAAGTGAATGCATATAGTTTCAGAAGTACAAATCGAAGGCTTCCTATTTGCATGTACTGCTATTATCAAAGTGTTTTCCCCCAAAGTCAAATGTCATTGAGATTGGTAAGTTTTACTCCATTTGAGTTTAATGAAAACATTAATTTAGTCAGATTTTCTTTCAAGAGAAACTTGGAAGGTATCAAAATGCTACCCAAAATTATACCTAGCAGAAAATCAGGCGTAAGAACTGCTGCTTTTGCAGTCCCTTAGAGGTTTTTCTCCTAAATAAATAATACTTAATTTTACAGTGTCTGCCTGGTGACTAGTCACAAGCATCATTCATCCCAGACAGAAAGAAATGAAAGTCTGAGTTAAATATATACAAACACTCCTCTGCCTGTCTCCTTGCTTATCAGACATGAAAACAGCTTAGCTGTGGTTGCTTTGCCACTGGATCATCACAGGTGGGGAAGAAGCAGATCCATCTTCAGGATCTCTGTTTCCCTAATCATGCAGATGAACTTGCATCTTGGCACTGGAACCGGACTGTTGCCCTAAGGTCTGAGCTGGCTGTCATTAAAATTAATTGGAGTTTTGTCATTCATTTCAATAGAAGTGAGGCCAGGTGTTAAATTCTTCTTCCCACCCCATCCCTCACCTGCCAGCAAGTGTTACAGACAAGTGATGAACAGGAACTGGGAAGTTTGGGTATGAACATTATTTTTAGCAAAGATTAATAATATGTGTCTTTGTATTCAAAGGCAACCATGTCACACAAACAGATCCAACCCTTGTTGATTTCAACAGGAATTATGTACCTAAATACCTCTGATAATCTTTTCTTCAGATTTAATTCAACAGCAAATGTCTTGTGTATCATTGCCAGCTGATGGTGCCATCCAGGCTGCGTTCTTTATGTCTCTTGTAAGAGTAACAGCTTTGGCTACTACGTACCTTCTTGTGCTTCCTCCCTCATCTGCTTAAACAAATACATAAACCATAAAGAATGCAAGAATTTACACTTACACATCACTTTGTGTTGTATAGATATGATCAAATAGGGACTCTATGGCCATCCATTTAACAGGTATCCGACCCTAGGAGGAAAAAAAGCAACAATGCAATTACTGGTCAGAAAATTTAAGTTTCCAAGTGGAAACCCGAGGTATTTGTCTTCAAAACTGTAACGGGTACTCTAGCCATACTCTAATATTTTCCAGCATAAGAAAAACAGTGAGGAGAACAATTGTAAGAGGTTTTAAAATCACTCATTCATTTCATTCCACACACTTCAGTAATCTTATTATGTACAATAAGGTGTCAAATGTGAATGTCTGTCTTCTAACAGATTCACTCCATTGCTTTTGGGAAATGTGCAAATGCAAAAATGATGGGGAACGATGATTAAAGAGGAAGAGCTCTCATTTATCATTCAGAGATGATGCATAAATGGAAGCACATAGATGTTAAGATACCTTTGGTTTCAGAACTATTCCTGGCCAGGCACGTTCAGTTACTGGTTACTAAATTGAATCTACTTTGAATTGCTACTTTCCACTAGTAGAAATTCACTGATAAAATCTGAGAAATCTGTCCCAGATATTCATGAAAATCTAGCTTTGCAAAATTGCCAAGATGTTTCATAACCTTCACAATATCACTAGCATTCAAATGCCTTACTACTGCTTCTCCTGAAATTCATATATATATGCAACAACTGTTTCAGTAGGATTTGAAACATAGCTTCTTCCTTCCTCTCAATTTTTTTCTTTTTCTCTGTTTCCCTATGCACGCAGACAGATGCTTGTTGGGCTCTGAATACTACTACGGTGACGAGTCTCTCAGAAGTGAAGAGAAAATATCCATTCAATACATCAACACCCCACCAAATAAAATGAAGCTGCCTTTGTGTAAATGCATCACTCTTAAAATACAGAGCAACTGGTGTAGATGAATGTAAACACATACACCAGAAGATACCTAAATGAATGTGGCAAAGCCCTTTTACACATCATGTCTTCCAGAAGTTTTTTTTTTCCTCACAACTTAAGAAACATTCACACAATCTGGCCTGGAAAAACATGGAAAGCTAAATTGAAAATTCACAGTATTTATGGAAATCTTTTCATAAAATTCTGAAATTTTCACATGCAAAAAATTCTGTTGGCAGCTCTTTCATATTAAGTCATAGAACTGAACCAACACTACTCATCTCAGAAAGAATCAAGAGAAAGTAGTGTTAGTGAACGTCACAGTCTGGCCTGGGATTGACTTGTTCTGCTAATGTCAGTGACAGGTGGAAGCAAACAGGCAGAAAGCAGGATTTGACTTGCTGTATTTGGCAGTATTTTTTACAAGACTAAATAAATGACAAGCTCTAACTTATCTTCTTAGTCTCAAAGTTATTATGCTCAAGTGTTTCTTTTCAGGGAAGTAGCGATGTGACTCAATAACTCGTCTTCTATCAAATTTCCTTTGCACAGTCCTACAGGTGAAACAGTACCATATGCTGAATCCTGCCATGAGCACCGCGAGCAGACAGAACGGTATTTAGGCTCCTGACAATAATTTACTGTGGCAGGCAAAATACAATTGCTTTAAATAACCTCTGGCAGATAGCATTAGCTCCTAATCTACCCCAACTGGTGATGGACCATTTGGATTAAGATTTGGTATCTTTCATAGATTTGGAAGTATTTGTAGGAGGCCTTTGCTTCAAGTCTTCTGCATAGATGTGGTAATTCCCAAAATTAACACCTTTATAGAAACTGTCTGCATTTTTTTCAACTCCTTGGGATTTTTTAGTTTATATAATAATTCTAAATAGGAAAAGAGACAGAGAAAAATGATGGGGTTTTTTGTGTTTTCAAGCAGTGTGATGAGGAACTGGATAAATAAGAGGGCCCACCTCATTTAAAAATGGGCTACCTTCTACCTGTAAAAAGGTTAATAGTTAAAAGCTCCTGCAATGAAAAAGGTGTCATTCTTCTATATTTACATTAACAAAACACATGCTATTTTTAAGCATCCTGTGTGAACTCTCTAGCCTTAAGAAAAAGAAATAATTTATTACAGACTATTTGGTACATGCTTTTAAAAACCAGCAGATCTTATCCTACTCTTGACACATTGTCTTGCAACTTTTCACAGGATCACGGAACCTCACCCCTCTGCTCAGAGCAGGGTCAGCCACAGCAAGTTTCTTGAGGCTGTTTCCAGCCAGGTTTTGAGTATCTCCAGGGATGGAGATTCTCTGGGCAGCCTGTTCCAGTGTTTGACCACTGTTGTAGTAAAAAAAGTTTTTCTTCTTTTCCTTTAATGGAATTTCTCTATTTAAAATAGTGCCTGTTGCCTCTTACCCTTTCACTGGGCCACTTTGAGAAGAGCCTGGCTCCGTTGGCTTTATTGCCTCCCACCAGGTATTTATACACATCAATAAGATGTCCCTGAGCCCTCTTTTCTCCAAGCTAAACAAACCCAGCTATCAGCTTCTCCTTGCACGTCACATGCTCCAAGGCTTTAATCACCATAGTGACCCTTCTTATACTTTCATTAACTTCTACATATTAGAAATAAATTGGTTTTGTTGACAAGTCAACAAAAAGAGATTGAGGAGGTAACGGTGACTTAAACATGATACTTTTTTTTTTTTTAACACACATATATATTACTGTTCCACTGATTAAGCTCATAATTTTGCTTCATCTTCATTTTTATTTCTTTAATACAGAGAATTATTCTAAGTTAATAAAAAATAACTATTATCTTTTTCTTCTGTGCTCAAGTCCTGCAGTATCAATTCATTCTCTTGATTAGGTAATAATTCCCACTACTGTTTTTAATATGCACTGTACCTTGCTCCTCTTGACATATGAATCTTCTTCATATACATCACGGGAGAGGCCAAAATCAGAAATCTTCATTTTGCGCCCTTCTGCCACCAGTACATTTCTGGCTGCTAAATCACGATGGACAAGCTGTTGGAAGAAATCAACAATACTGTTAATGCTTCTTGTGGAGGAAGCGACTGCTGACATGTCCGTCTAATCCAAGGACATGCTGATATCACTATTACATGGCCTTACCTTCATTTCTGCAAGGTACTGCATTCCTCGTGATATCTGCCATGCAAACGATATCAGATCTCCCATTGTTAAGGCTCTCTCATCAGGGTTATCCAAATAACTTGAATTTCTGTTACCATCACTACCCACATAGCTTGGTCCTACTTTTCGACTTTCCCTGAGAAAACTGCGCAAGGAGCCATATTTAGCGTATTCCACAATTAAATACAGCGGGCCTGAAATAAACACACACGCTGATAAGTAAACAATAGGTATTTTTTTCTTTTCCTTTCAGAAAAGTCTTTTCTAATCAACACATTGTTTTGAACACTCAGAGGCTCCAGACACCTCTGGCCTTTACATAAAAGGCACTGAATCAGCCATGGAATCACAGAATATTTTTAGCTTACATCCTCTGTGCAAAGTGAGTGAGTTTCAAAGCAGAATTCAGGCTCTTGCCTATATTCCCTCATCTAGATAATTTGAGACTAAAAAGAGACAACTGTCTTACCAATCAGATCTGTGAAACAGTCTAACTTAGAGAAACTTTAAAAAAAATCAGAATACTTTTCTGGAGCATGTGATACCAACCTCACAAATCATCTGCTAATTCCAGTGTTGTATTTAAGGTGCCTTTTCAGAGCACTTAGAAACATTCTGACATTTCAATCTATTATTTTCTCCTCCCCATTACCCACATGAATAATATCCACTCAGTGCTGTAATGCTAAATGCATTTGTCTGCCATATCAAAGCCCTCCCACCCCATACGCTAATGAATTAACTTGATATTTATTAAAAGCCTGTGACTCAGAAACAATTCACTTCCTTTGGGATGAAAAAATACATTGTACTGAAAAGGAAAAAAAAAAAACAACCATCCCGCCCTGCTGGTTCATTACCTTACTACGACTCAGAGATGACTCAGTCCTGAATTACATTCTCTGTCTACAAGTAGAAGCGCCACTTGCAACAGAACTGGGAGGGCAAAGGCGGCAGGCCTTCGCCCAAGGTCGCAACATGCATACTGTGATTTTAGGCTGCATAATCACAGCTGCAAAAGGAAGAGGATGTTGCCATGCAACTTCATTTAACATGAACAGGAATTGATCTGAATAATTTCTATGCACAACAATGAAAATTTTCTTCATTGGTAGTTTATAATATGTGTCTGAAAATTTCCCCCCTTGAAATATACCTTTCAATTACTGTGGCTTTTGGCAAATATTTCACAACAAGAGGGAGACAATAGTTTTGTGACAGACAAGAAGAACTGAGTATCAAACTATCCAGCTATATTTTAACAAAAGGATCTGTAGTTGTCTTTGTTATTTTGGGGGGTTTTTTGTTTGGTTGTTGGTGGGTTTTTTCAAAGGGACACCTCACTCCCTGGCTTACGCCTCAAAGCATTGTTTTAGTATGAACAACAACAACAACAATGCAAAAGCCATTAAACTTTAAATATAACCCATATTTGAAAACACTGAGCATCAACATAATATAAAATATATTGATTGGAAGAGAATTGGTAGTAGATTGGTCAAATTTAAAAAGGCTTCAGAATCAAAATGCGTATTGAAGAAAACCACAGGAAGAACGCTTAGTTACACTGAATTAGCATTTCCCCTTCCCTTCAAACATTGTTTTTCTTATACGTCCCTCATTTTTTTCAGCCAGCAGCAAATTTAAAAGATGCTCAGCAATTCTTAAGCAGTCGTCCAAACCCATCAATGAACTGCTCTTTGTTTCCTTGCTTGACATTTTCATCTTAATAATGAGCTACTAATATTTACCATCTTGACTGCAGGCTCCGTAAAGCTTGATGACATGAGGATGGTTCACCTGTTTCAAAAGGTTGAACTCTGAAAGTAGATCTCGCAGCTCGCTCTGGGAAGCATTTTCTGCAGAAAGTGTCCAAACACACACTTGTGGTTAGGAAAATATTACTAAAGAGTTCTCTATGTACCGTCTGAGATCAACCATTTCCCCTGGAATTCACAAGACATTGGAAAACTCCATACTTCTTCGCAGGAGAGAAATTTCCCCATCTCCACTGTCTTGCAGTCATTCATATCAGAACCAAGTGAACGGGACTGCAGCTGCTCTGGCTTGGTAACCTGCTCTAATCATCACTCTGCCCTGATACCAATGACTACAGAAAGAGTAGGTCAGCCAAGAAGCAGGACCACAGGCTGTAATGTCTTGAAAATGCCATGAAATTATTACAGACCTTTTCTAGTGTTCTAAAGCAACTTTTTAGGGTGAATCAGCGCAGTCATAGCTTCAGAAGCAGATGAAAGCCAAGACTTTAGGTTGATCAAACAAAAAAAGAGTCGCTTAGTTAACTCCCACAGTATAGCCCTCCTCCTCCTAAATACATTTTCTGACAGAGTAAAAATCCACTAATGTACTGGCTTACACTTGTAGCACATGTTCAGATTTAAACTTCAGAAACTAAACGTACAGTTCAGATTGATTTTACTGGGAGACATGTATGCAGATTTCGCTGATGTCAGTGGGAATCATATGACAATATATAGCCCCTAGAGGCTTTCTTAGCCTTTCAAGCATCTTGTTTTTGCAGAATTCTTGCGGCTAACAAACTTCCTCTTTGAACGTACTGGGGCTTGAAGGAGATCTTCAGTCATAATGACACCGTAGGTCAGAGATAACCCTTCTCCTACCTCATCCTTAATCTCTCTGACACACGGAACCACCCCGGATGCTTCCTACAGAGTGTTATTACTGGGTAGTTGACAAGTATGTGGTCACCTTTACTTAAGGCTATAAAAACCAAGCTCAGCTTCTGATCTTTGGTACCATACTGTGTGTTTTTCCATAAAGGCTGTAGGCACCAAAGGATTTATTTACATATCCATTTCAAATATGTGTGTTAATAGTTTGCCTCAGTCATGATAATTTTTTATTCTGTTCTATTATATGTTTGTATCGGTCCTATACGTTTGTATCTGCCATATATTATCTTATAGTCTGAACCTCCACTCAGGCTTCAGAGTCTTCTACCCCAGGGAGTGCAAGATCAGATGGTGTCTCACTACTGATAGGGACTACAAAAAATGTGCATTTATGTAAAACAAAAATGAACAACATCAACTTAATGCCTGCAAGAAAGTGCTAGTTTTCTAGCTCTGTAACTGCGTAGCACATGCAAGAACTGAACAAAGTTCCCCATGTACCATGCCTGTTTGCCTGCTGGAAAAGCTACCTTTGATAGTGCACAAATGGAGACAATTAGCTCTGAAGCTTTATGCCTCTTGTTTTTACAACTTGCGAATAGTGTCTATTTATTTATTGGCTGGTGTTTTCCCTTTTAATTTTATTGTAACGAGGGCATTCGTATAGTACAGGAGGTCAGATTTAATTTGTATGAGAAAAGTGGCAATAATGGGCTGTAAAAATTATCCCTCTGTTCCTTTAAACCTCCATCCATAGCTCCAAGACTATTTTGCCTCAGCTAATTACTTACTACTGCGTATTCCGTCCCCAGTATGTAATGCCAAGTTGACAAAGCAGGGAGAGTCCTACCTACCCTGATCTGTCCTTACCCACAGACAGTGCCTATCTACATAGCTCAGGCAGGAGATGGCTTTTATGCAATAAGCGGGAGGCTTTCTTCATTAACGTGCTGGTATACATACCATTCCCTTTTAAAGCTCAGGCAGTGTAGAGTCCCTAATGCTTGGACAAATTACCCCTTTGCAGCTGTTACAGGGAAAGAACAGGGAATGTTGGCCTCATCCGAAATAACTGTATATTTCCTGACAGCATTATAAAGACCACTGTGGACTAATGCAATGTTTCTTGTATTTGAGTTGTCATGTGTTAACAGTAAAGTTAAACCAGTGACAACAGATAAATATTTGCAGAATAACAAATGTTCTTCACAGTCAAGTCGGAAAATGGAATTTCAGGTGACTATCTGCAACATAATTTACATTACAAAGGGATTCATTAGAGCCTGAAGTATTACTGTAAATGTCAGATCAATTTGTTAAAATAAGGTGCTTAAAATAAAGTCTTACTCCTTCACATTACCAATTCTGTCAATTCTTTCCTTCGTAATAGCTAGGGAAAGCTGAATGATAAATTATCTCTAAGTAAAAGCAACATTTTTACCACTATGTCTTGGGATCTTAACTCGGTTGTATGTTGATGAAAACGTGCCAGAAAATTCAGTGGCATTAAGTACACAAATAAATACAAAATGAAATGATTACTAAGACTATTCTATTGGTAATGATATACAGGTTGTTACCTGAGTATTACAAGTAATGGTTAAATAGTCTTCGCTTCTGAAAAGACTTGGTTCCTAGGTTTCCTCCATATGACCTATTCTCCACTGAACCTCCTGCAATGCAGGCATGCACTTGTAATTCATTTATTTCTTCGGTAAAACAATGGGATATGCACCATCTTAGCTCTCAAGTGGCGGATGTGGGGTTTTTTAAAAGAAACAACCTTGTGTGTAATAGAAATGTTAATAAGTAGTATAACATTTTCCTATAACTTCATGTTTTTACTTATAAGCAGCAGTGAATGGCTGAGGTCATTCAGCTAAAGCCAGAGGCCCAGCTAAAGGAATCTCCTTGCATCCGTAAGGCTTTCTGAAGGGTGTTTCCCCTCTGCATCTCATATCTTCCTAGGTACCTGATATGTAGGGACTACATGCACATATGAATTGGTACACAAGATGGTAGAGAAGGACGCAATTTTCTTTTCATATCTATTTCATCTTTCAGGCCTCCTGAAAGAACCGGTTTAAGCATTTCCACTGACCTCCTTCACTATCATTGCATGTCTAGTGAAGTCCTTATTAGGAACCAGGCTCAGACATGAGATATGTAAAATCTATGCTCATATATGTAACTGTAAAGGTTACTGGCAGAGCTCCTAGTAATTGAAAAGCACATCAGAAAATATAGAAGTAGACGGAATTCTCAATCAGAAAAGTAACTTAATAGGTCTATTATGTCTCTTGACATGATTATAACATGTTTTATTTAAAAAGCTTTGTCAAAGAAAACTGGGTAGAGGAAAAAAAAAATCAGAAAGCTTTAACAACCCCTTGCAGTGTTTCCATCAACGCCAGACAAAATTAAATACATTTGCTATGTTAAGTCAGAGGCTCCTTGCACATCATGAATTAGAATTTGTGGAAATAACTTATTTGGATCAACATGATGCTAGCTTCTAAAGTAAGAAATCTTGCAGAATATAACAGCCTTGGAAAAAATGGAGGCTGTGACCATGGTTGGTTTTAACTGACTTTTTACTTTCATGCTAGCCCCTCTTAAAATCCAATCAAAGGTTATAAAAAATAGTTTTCAAATAATTTCAGACCCAGATGCAAATGTACCTTTTAGCATTTTCACTGCCACGGTGGTATAGCCAGCTCTCCCCTTGAGTCGGAAAGCTGTTGCCTTGACAACCTTTCCAAATTCTCCTTCTCCAAGAGTCTTGCCCAGAACCAGGTTCTTCCGAGGGAATTCCCACTTTGGATCTTCCTGCAGGAGAGAAAAGGAACCCTATAAGACTAAGCAAGAAAAGGAGTAGCTAGCTGCACCCAAAGCATTAGTGTTCAACAGGAGATTTCTCAGGGATAGGTATGCTTTGGTGTACAATGCTGGTTGCTCTCTTGTCAATATCAGTATATTCCTATGAAAGCTTCTGAATCTCTAGGTATTTTGAAAGTATTTTTCCATTACCTTGAAATCACCTACTTCAAAACAGGCTGTACATGTAGTCTATGGATAATGGGTTATATTTACAGGTCTATGGATAATGGATTATATTTACAGGTCTGGGAAATTGGATACAAATGAAACATGAAGTGATAATGGGAGTAAATGCTCCCTTTCAGAGTAACTATGAATATATGAACTTGGACTTCACAGAGAAGTAAATCAGTGTTACTCACAAAATAAGGCTTTCTCTTAAGAGTTCATCAGAGACAACAATCCTCCTCTTATGAAATTACTGTTATTAAGCCTTACAGTGGCAAAATGATGACAGATGTACAAACCAGACAAGAAATTAAAGCAAATAAAACACAAGGTCTGTGAAGACCTCAATATCTAACATCCAAACAGATTTGACATTGCCACGTGTCATGTAAAGTGGCACTGTTTTCTCTACCGTGTCGGTCCATGAAAATACACCAGCTGGCAGGCATCCTGCATAGTATGTGATTCAACACAAAAAAACCCTCTAGATTAAGGATATGATGGGGTGACTGGGCAAAAATCCTTAAAACATGGGTAAAACTCACACTCCAACTGATGCCTACAGTCTGTTTTGTTCTAAACTTACCCTTGTTGTGATACTATGGCTCATCACAGAGACTATGCACCTACTGATTATTAGTATTTAATTGGACAAAGTAAAACCACACTACTGTCAAATGTAGAGTTACGTTTAGGAAAAAACATTGGTTCAAATTAGGTCTAAGATGTTACTATATTAAACATAACAAAAATAGAAGACTATATGGTTTATCCAGTTACTCATTAAGTATCTGCAGTTCTCTGCCCATACACATGATTTCCATTTTAGTTATTTGAGTTGGATATTTCTATAAATAGATTGCATTTCTGTAACATTCTCTGCATGCACAAACAACATTCTTTAAGAACAAGACAGACACAGAAAAAGAGCATGCAAAATGACATCAGGCTTACTGGTATTTTAAAGGTGTCTACAGACACCTGGTTCTCCATGGAATCTAAAGAAGGCCGGCGGACATTAGTGGAAGAATAACTGATGGGGTAGGACTGGGCTGGGCGCCGGAACGTCATTTCTGCAGAGGCAATGGGTGGCTTTGGAGAATTCTTGTGGTAACGATGGATGAAATAGGAAGAAAGCAGCACAGAGATGATGAAGGACAGCAGCACGGCGCCTGCTATCACAGTCTTGCACACGTAATCACATAGTTGCTCTGTGGACCAAGAAGAGCTTCTTAGAACTTTGCTTGCTGTTTCCTACTTCCAGTTTGGTGGTGCACAGAACACACGCAGGTGTGACAGAAACAGAACTCAAAAAATATTTAAAAATCTAGAGGAAAACCTAATAGCTAATTCTCCATGAAATTCGAGAATTTGCACATATGCCCACTGCACCTATCAATTTTTTTTTATTTTGGACACCGTAGGTAATTGTTGGCCTAACTGCCCATGTACATGTAAGACCAGGTAGCTTGACCCCATATTCCTTATCTTTATAGATGTAGACTACTTCTGACACTGATCTTTAAGACCCAACCTACCATATATTGATCTTCTCATACCTCTTATCTCTCTGGAAACATGATCGAATTTTGCTTGTGGACAACAGTTTATGGCAGAGCCATTCAGCCCATCAAATAAAATCTTCTTCAAACATGAATTGAAATCATTATGTCAATTGTTACACATTAAAGACTATTTCTCCAACTTTTTAGATTATAAGGACACTTAGAATATTTCTGCTTTGTATTTATCAAAATAATTATTTCTGAAAATTATTTATTATTATAAAT